GTTTTCTCCTCAACTCTTTGAGCAATTGTGGGATTTCTTGGTTGTAGCTTTTCTAAACAGTCTTCAGCTGCCATCCAAACTTGGGAGACTTGTGGACTTTCCCTACAGCCCCTCTCCTCGGGTTGTCAGGAGAGCTACAAGCTTTCATGAAAAGATTCAAGATCAGGCTATTCCCTCATCTCTAACTTTCTTTTCCACACACAGATGAAAGTATGAAATGCAGATGGTAGCTTTGTTAGCATTTAAGACCATTTGTTCCAATTGGAGGACTCACGACCAGCAAGCACCTTATGCACTGTATCTGAATGAATGCTCTGGATCGGGCTGAGAACCAATTTACCAGACCAGGACCCTATTGAGTCTCACTGCATCATCCAGTCTGGCCTAAAACTCACTATGTAGACTGAGCTGGCCTTGAACTCACAGTAGTTCTCCTGTCTCAGTATTTCCCAAATCCCAGTGCATTGGTGGTTTGGGACCACAAGTGTCAGTTCAGCGGGCCTGAGAGAGATTAAAGAGGGAGAGATAAGGGTGAATTCTCGGAGACTTCCCCACCAGAGGAAGCAAGAGTGGGGTTCTTTGATACAGTTAAGGGGAGTGGCTGACCTTATCTCTTACGTCATTTGTGTGGGATCCGTGTCTATAGAGGTAAATAGACATCTAACAATCTCGTTAAGTAGTAAGTTTTCCATCCAGTTATCTTTCTTGAGATTGGACATTTGGGGTAAGTCTGGGTGTTAAGCTCTAGATGTTTCTATGAAAGCATTACAGGACACGGGTTAGACTCCAAGTAGTTAGGAAGGGTTTATTGTTATGGCAATTTTGTTTTTATTCCTGGTAGTTGTCTATCCATTTTGCCTATTTATTTATTAGATTGTTTTGTGTGTACGTGTGTGTGGTGTGTGTGTAAAAGAGATTTTATGAGCGTGGGGGGTGTAAAAAGAGGTGGGGAAATTGTGCCTATGCCTAGGTGAAGGATCACAGGACAGATTTTGGGGATTCAGTTCTCTCCTTCTGCCTTTTTAAAAAATTAAATTTAAAAAATTTAAAAAATTTAAACTCACATGTGTGTCCATGTGAGTTTATGTGTTATGTACATGCAGGTGCCTGCAGAAGCCAGAGATCATTGGCTGTCCCTGGAGCTGGAGTTATAGATGTATAAACCCCTGATATGGGTGCTGGAAACTATACCCAACTCTCCTGGAAGAGTACTTGTTCTTAAGAACTCAGCCACCTCTCCACCTTGTTTTTAAGGCAGGGTTTCTCCTGTTGTTTCTGCTATTGTAGTGATATATTATTTATGATTTATTAAAGCTTGCCTGAGGATTCAGAAAGCAAAGTCAGCCACAAACCAAAGGCGCCAGACACACGCCTTTAATCCCAGCAGCCAGAAGCTAGGAAGTGGTGGTGCCCACATTTAATCCTAGGACTCAGGGTTAAGAGATGCTACAATCCACCATATCACACAGTAAGGTTCAGATGGTCATACTCACCAGGCTAACCCACCCACTGGGATTGCTATCAACGCATTCCACTGGAAAGAAACCCCATTTGCAAAGTCTTGGGGACACCTGGCTATTAAATAGTCATCTCTGTAAAGCCCTTGTGAAACCATATTGCTCCCCCTTTTCCATAATGGGATTTGTCCCCCAAAATCACAGCAGTGTATTAATCAATTATTGGACACAACTCCCTCTTGTACTGGTAATTGGATAACCATGGGGCCCTGGAAAGTATTCACATAGTGGAGGAAATCTTTGGTGCTCATAGTCAAATCTGCATAACTCAGAAGCTAGCCCCCTACAATTATCTCCTATGTCAGGGCACCTGGCAAAGAGAGGAGCCTTGCAAACAAACCACATTCAGAGCCTCAAAAGACAGGAGACACAAAGGTCTGCCCCCACCTGATAAGCAAGCCTGGATGGCACCAGCCTGCTCAGGAGAGTGCAGTCTACTAGCCCCAGGCTGGGCTGGAAGCTGAAGCCTCCAGATCTTAGGATCTCACTCACATAGTTTCTCCTTTTGATCTAGTGTTGTGAATTGAACCCTGCAAGAGCACCATCTTTCCAATGCTCTTACCTGCCTCTTTATGTGGATTCCAAGAATTTTAACTCAGGTCCAGGCTTGTATAGCAAGCACTTTTGCCCACTGAGCCTTTTGGGACTGGGTATCACTATGATGCCCAAGCTGGTCCCAAATGTAAAGCAGAAGTTATCAAACTTTGGCCTTACACCAAACCCAGACTATTTTTGTTTAGTTCTTAAGGAAAGTTTGGACATTTTTGTAAGTGGCTTTTGACATTTTTGTAACTATCTCACAGGAGAAGATATTTTTGATTGGTGTTGGTTTTTTGAGACAGGGTTTCTCTGTGTAGTCCTGGCTGTCCAGGAATTAGATCTGAAGATCAGGCTGGCCTCAGACTTGATCTTCCTGCCTCTACCTCTTGAGTGCTGGGATTAAAGCATGCTCAGGAGAGTAATCTTTTTGTTTTGTCTTGTTTTTTGAGACAGAGTTTCTCTATAGTTTTTGAGCCTGTCCTGGAACTTTGTAGACCAGGCTGGCTTTGAACTCACAGAGATCCACCTACCTGTCTCTGCTTCCCGAGTTCTGGATTAAAGGTTTGTGGCCACTACCACCAGGTGAGAATAATCTGGGTTTCTCTGTGTTGTTTTGGAGCCTGTGCTGGCTCCTGCAGAGGGAAGGGAAGGACTGAGTCACAGAGAAGGGGCTGCCCCCAGGGAGGGACTTCACACAGCTCTGCCAACTTGCCAGCAGCCTTCCTTCAGGACAGCTAAAGGCAATGATGACCAGGTACATTGACCAGGACTGCTTTGTTATGTACACTTCTTATTTTCTATTTAAATGTAAAAATATTTTAATTATGTGTGTGGGTGTGTGGACATGCCTTCAGAGGCCAGCAGTGCTGGATCCCGGTGGAGCTGTGGTCACAGGCAGTTGTGAAATTGGGAAGAGAATTCAGCATGCCCTCTAACTGCTGAGCCATCTTCTCATCCATTTCTATCTAAACTTAAAACTCCACATCCAATATTCTGCAGATGGACTTGGGGGTCACTAGACCCCGGTATTGTCCTCTTTCTATGTGAAAGCATTAAGTGACTATTGCTTTTCTCTTTAACTGGTGTACTGAGGACAAGTGACTGAGCCTAGATTGCTTACCGGAGCTGCCAGGGCCCAGACTTCTACCCTCAAAATCTTGGTAAAATCTTTTATATGAAAAAAATTAAAAAAAAGAGTACTTGGTGACATATGCAAATAATGACAAACTAAAAGTTCAGGTTACATACTAGTTTTTCTAGGACACAGCTGTTCTTGTTCAGTACTGTAGCATCTGTGTGTCCCTTCCTGCTTCAGGGTCACACAGTCCAGTAGTCCTCAGCATCATTATTTGACACCTGGCCCTTTCAGTGTGTTAGCCATCGTGCTTAAACATTCTATGTGCTCCTCAAAGCTATGAGGTGTGGTCTGATTTGGTTAATAGTCTGTTCTTTGTCTTGCCCTGTATTCACACTCTCTTTTGGTGCTGGGGATCAAACCCATGGCCTGGTTCTGCTCATGCTGTAGTGCTGAGCTACACTCCCAGTCCTTTCCAAACCTTCTGCCTTGAAGCTTTGTGCTGCTTCTACTTTGCCCTTGTTTTAGGTCACATGACTTGCTTTGACCAATGGGAATTGAAACAGAGGACTGACCTGTGAATGCAATGTGACATGTTCTCTCCTGCTCTTAGGTCATATGCACAGACCCAGGGTAGTCTGCTGGTGGATGAATCATAAAACCCACAGCCCAGTAAACTGTTACTCCTCCTAAGGTCATCCTAGGTTAGCCAAGTTAAAGGTCCAAGATTATCATGGCTGACCACAAACAGACTCTAGCAGGCCCAGATGCAGTCACTCCCATCAGCCCAGATCAGCTCACCTTGTGCCAGCCAACTGCACAGGGATGACACTACTGAGTTTGGTGATGGTTTGTTACATGTTTCTCTAGCAATAGAAAGTAGCATATAACTGGGCATTGGTGATGATGCCTTTAAACCCAGCATTTGGGTGATCTCTGTGAGTTCAAGGCCGCCTAGTCTACAAAGTGAGTTCCAGGGCATCCAGGGCTACACAGAGAAACCCTGTCTCGAACCCCCCTCTCCTGACACCAAAAAAAAAAAAAAAAAAAAAAAAAAAAAAAACCCAGAAAAAAGAAAAAAGAAAAGAAAGTAGCATAAATTCTAAAACTTCCCTTTGCCAAACAGGTGCTGGAGCATTTTATTTTTTCTCCTGAGGGCAATTTTAGCTTCTAGTAAACATAGCATCTGAAGGAACCACAGAAATCTTATGCCTGCCAGGACTGGGGGCAGGCATGAGATCACACCTTGAATTTCCAAAGACGTACCAGAACAGAACACTTTTTGTTTTGTTAGAGACATTCTTCATATTGTAGCCCAGTGTGCATCTCTATCTAGTTTATAGCTCAATCTGCCCCATGGGTCAAAGAGATGTTGAGGCTTTCTGACTTGGTATACCTCTTCGCCATGAAGACACCCAGACAGACTTTACCATTTATGGAAAAAAAGAGAGATAATTCAATTTATTTTCTTTTAGTACTATAAAAAAGTACTTTGGGTACAAAATCTAAACGATTAAGATGTGGTCAGTTAGGAGGGCATGCCCATCATTGTCTACAACTTCCAGTCCCTCAAGTATGGTATGAGGAGAACAGGGTGGGCTGGGAGGCTGCTACCTAAAAGGCTGAACCATAAGCTTCAAAGAGTGGGAGCTCCAGAGCTGCAGAGCCCTCAGGAAGCAGGAGGGGAAGAGAAAGTGCATGGTATGGAGCAGGAAGAGAAGGAAGAGGATAGACTGAGGTAGGAGGCAAGATCACACTTTGTTCTACAGTCTCGGGAAAGCATTTTAATTTGGAATGGGGAAGGTCTCCTTTTTGAGATAGGGTCTTCCTCTGCAGACTATCCTGAACTCACTAGGAAGGCCCGTGGTGGCCTCAAACTCATAACAGTTTTCCTGCCTCAGTTTCCAACCACGCCTGGAGAGTCTTCCTTCTTGAATGCTGCACAGCTGGCCTGAGCATGTCCTAGGAAGTCCATGTTTCCTGATGCCAAGGCCTGCCCTTCCCTGGAGAGCAGCCCAGGTGGTTCCCACTGGGAAGGAAAAGCATTCATCAATGGGACATGAAGTGATCACCGTCGGACTTGCATAAACTCCTTCCGCAGCCACAGTGAGTCCTGGTGAAAGCGGGGGTCGCCCAGCCTCACAGCCGTCCGTTTGTAGAAGTAGAAGTACAGCACCGCGGCTGAGGACAAAAGCAGAGAGCAGCCTCATTCAGGGGAACCCAAGCCCCGCCAGCCCCGCCACACCCAGCACTGCCCAGGCTTCTCGCTGTCGCCCAGAGAGAGGAGGGCAGCCCTTCCTCTGTATGCGTGGCTGTCCCAACCATCCCAGGCCATCCTGATGGAGCTGGGAAGCCAGGATCAAGGCTGTGCTGCCGGACACAGCAGGACATGGGTACACCTGAAGCTGCCCCACTCCTCACCTAGTCTCTGGAATACAAATAGTATTTGAAGTCCATCTGTCCAAATGAAGCTGCTGGAGTTTTTCCATCGCAAGTTCTAAAGGAGACATGAATAGAAAGGGAAAGGTTAAAGGGTATGTGAGACTATTATATCTCCAGCAAAGCCACTTGGTTGAAAATCACACTAACCTTACTGCCTTTTCACAAGGTCAAAGTATATATTTTTTTTCAATGTTCAGTTTCCTTTAATAACCCCCATCTCCCTTGAAGGGTAGATGCAGGCAGCTAGGTGATAGCAAGACATGTTCACTTGAAGATCTTGCCTTGATTGACAGCTTTGCCCACATGCTGGAAGGCCCCCTCCCAGGAAAAGTACTCTAGAACCAGTGTCTGGGTCTCCTGGCTACCAGAATCCAATTTCTGCCATGTATATGACTCGTAGTCAACCTGCCAGTCTGGACTCACCAGAAAAGGCAAGCTCTTGGCCTTGGAAGACCCAAATGCCAGAAATGGAGCTGTTGTTGGTTCCAAAGAGGATAACACTAGTAAAGGCATTCTTCCCCAGTTTGTCCAATTGCTGGAACATTCCAGTGGTGAGGTTGCAACTCATGAAGGTCTGGATGAGCTCTTCAGGGAAACGGTACTCAGCATACCACAGAGACCAGCCATCCTTATCAAAGTGCCCCCCTAAATATGGCAGCGCCACAGAGAATGTGTCCTCATCCAACACAAAGGTACTCTTGGGCAGGTGAGCGAAGGGGTCCTTGGCCTTGGGCTCAGCAGCTAGTGCCTGCTCACACTCGTCCATCTCCTCCTCAGGAGCTGGGGCAGCTGCCTTTTTTTCTTCTTTCTGCTCAGCCTGGGGCTTCTGTTAGTAGGTGATGACATTGCTCTCAAATACACAGAATCCATCATCACCCTCAAATTCTGGGACCTTGCCAGCAAGAAATTTTCTGAGAAATTCAGGGATGCGGTTGGTTTGGCCAAAGTGGAAGTGGGGTGGTGCGGAGAGCACGCGGACCTGAGCCCCACTGTACTGAGCAGCGATGAGGGCCTTAAAGGTTCTCCAGTTTTCAGGGTATGTGTACAGGGTTCCAGCCGCCATGGTGATTCCCCAAAGTATATTTTTTAAGAGGGCCTCAAACTCCTCCTTAAAATATTTTTTTTGAGGCTGGAAAGATAGTTAAGCGGTTAAGAGTACTGACCTAAATTCAGTTCCTAGAACAAATGATGGCTCACAACCTCCTATAACTTTAGTTCCAGGGGATCCTATGTCTCTTCTAGTCTCTGTGGACACCAGGCATACATGTGAGGCACATATGCAGGCAAACACTCATACACATGAAACAAATAGAATTTTCAGCTGGACACAGTGGTGCCTTTTAATTCCAGCACTTAGGAGGCAGATCACTATAAGTCTAAGGCTAGCCTAACCTAAATAATGAGTTCCAGACTATATTAGTGAGACTCGGTCTCAAAAAAAATTTTTTTTTTTGGTTTTTTGAGACAGGGTTTCTCTGTGGCTTTGGAGCCGTCCTAAAACTCGCTCTGCCTCTGCCTCCAGTGCTGGGATTAAAGGTGTGTGCCACCACCGCCTGGCTCAAAAAATTTTTTTTAATTGACAAAAAGTGTGTATGTGTGTGTGTGTGTGTGTGCTAATATGACACAGCATGCATGCAGAGATAGAGTCAGTTCTCTCCATCATGCAGGTCCCAGGGATCAAACCCAGACTGTCAAGCTTCGCAGCAAGTTCCTTTACCTTTTTAGTCATCTTACCAGCTCTCAGTTGCCCCCTGTACCTTTTTAATTTTTGCTTCAAAAGGATCTCCTCTAAGCTTGATCTGAAGTATTTATCTCCTTCCACTGTATTGTCTTTACAAGGAGAAATGATCTCAGGAGCTTCCCTGCTCACTGTCTGGCCCTCAGCCTCAGGCTCAGCTCCTAGCAAGTCATAACCTTGGTGCACTTAGGCTCAGGGCTTAATCACGTACACAGCCAGAACACAGGGCTCCAGGAAGTGGAGCACAGACTCTGAGAGAGGAAGCCTTGACCCCTGCACACTGCTCTGCTGGTTTCCTGTGAGCTCTGCTTCTTCTTTGTGGCACCTCAGAGACAACCAGTGGGTCAAATGAGAAGCAACAAAGTGACTGGAGACCATGGTCCACTTTGTTTTGTTTATGATGCTGAGAACCAAAGCCAGGGCCTCCCAAATTCTAGGTAAGAGCCCTAACCCTGGGGCCATACTCCTAACTCAGAGTCAAAGATTTTAATAAGCTTCATCAAAATAAGCATATAAGAGAGACATGAGCTATCCAAAGAGATGAAAAAAATTTATAAAACAGAAGAAATCTGAATGGTAAAGGCCTTCAAGACCTCTCCAGAACCCATATAAATGTAAAAATGGAAGGATGGGCTAGAGAGAAAGCTCAATGGCTAAGAGCATTTGATGCTCTTTCAGAGGACCAGAGTTCAGTTCCTAGCACCTATGTTGGGTGTCTCACAACTTCCTGTAACTCCAGTTACAGATCAAACACCTTCTGGAGCACCTGCTTACACTCAGGCATGCACGCACGCCCGCCCCCTCCCCACTAACATAAATTTCAAATTATATTAAAAAAGCAATCTGAAACCATGAGAACTAGATCTGATCTGGAGCCTACAGGAAAACTAAAGAGAAACATCTTAGGGATTGAGTTTCCTGTGTAAAGATGGGGACTGGACATAGAGGAAAGCAACATGCTTGAGTGACCGCTTCTCAGAAACACCCAATGCCCGTAATATTAACCATGGGATACTAACATCTAATACTCCCTGTAAACACCCACCTATCCATGTAGCAGATGATAAAACAGATTCGACTTCCTGTTTTAACCCTGGTAGGCCTATCTGGGGTAAAGGTAAACTGACTGATACAAATAGAAAAGTCCCTGGATAGTTGGACAAAGTGCCTATGAACTGTCACATGGTAAACTCCAGCCAGGACACCTTCATTTACCCACCTTCTACCAGAGTTTCTAGAGGACAGGGACTTCTAATTGGATTTCCTTTTGGTAGGAGAGGATTTGATCAAACCCAGGGCACCGAGCCTGCCAGGTAAATAAATACCCTGTGGCCAATCTATATTTCCTAACCCTTACCACTTTCTTCCTGGTGTTTTGTTTTTGGTTTTTGTTGCTTTTTAAATCAAGCCTTTTGTGCCTGTAGGAATGAATCAGATCAACAGTTTGAATATAAAGCATCTGTCTCACACAGACCCCAGACTAAATCTTATTTTCATGGCTTCTAACTTCTGCATTCCTAATTCCTCCATCTCTTTGTGTACTCTGTGTTTTTCATACTTCTTGAGAGAGGGAGAGGGAGAGAGAGAGAGAGAGAGAGAGAGAGAGAGAGAGAGAGAGAGAGAGAGAGAGAGAGAGATTTACCTATTTATTTTGGGCATGGAGCATAATGTTATTAAGTCCTGGCTGACCTGGAACTATCTTTATAGATCAGGCTGGCCTCTAGCTTACAGAGATCTGCCTACCTCTGCCTCCCAAGTATGGAAGTAAAAGTGTGCACCACCCATGTCTGAAAACATGAGTGCTTTGTATGTACATGTGTACCATGCATGTGCCAGTGCCATCAGAGGTCAGAGAGTTGGATCCCTTAGAACTGGAGTTACAAGGGGTCATGAGCCATCTGATATATGTGGTAGGAGTCAAATGCAGGCCCTCTGCAAAAGCAGCAAGTGCTCATAGCTGCTGCGCCATCTCTCTAGCCCATCATGTGCTCATTTTGGCCTCAAGGTTCTGAGTTGGAAGAGTGGCTCAGCAAAACTTGCTTTGGCCAACATGCTGTACTTGCCATGGCCTTCAGAGAACTAAGATTACAATTATATACTACCACATTTTTCTTTTTTCCTCCTCTTGAGACAGGGTCTTAACACTACATAGCCCAGGCTGGTCTAGAACTTAACTGTGTAGCCTGGGATGGCCTTGAATTTGTGGTAATCCTCCTGCCTTGGGTTACTGGGAGCTAGAATTACATGTTTTAGCCACCATGCCCAGACATTTCTAACTCTTTAAAGATGTGGTTAGGGAAGTTTGCTGCTAGGCCTGATGACTTCAGTTCGATCCCCAGAACCTACATGATGGAAGAAGAGAACCAACTCCCACAAGTCACCCTTTGGCACCCACACTTCTATCCATCTACACATAGACATAACACAATACCTGTATATAATTTTTAAAAATTAAATATGTAAGAATTCAGAGCTTTCACTCTTACCATGGCCCAGACATGAAGGGAGATGCTGAGGGCGAGGTACACAGCAGCTAGAATGATGGTCCCTTTGAACTTATGGAATAGGAGGTTGACCAGGCCGGCCTGGAAGACGAAGGTGTTGAAGAACATGAGGAAAAGTATGATGATGTTGAAGAGGATTGCAATATCCTGGATGCTGTAGACACACAAAGTATAGGCAAGTTGGGCTTATGTGAGGATATCATGACATCTGTTCTTCTCTGAAATAGAGTCACCTCAAACCCCCAAACAGCACAGACTTCTGAACACACCGATGACTTTTAAAATGCTCAACTGTGACTGTCAGAGCCTTCAAACTGTTTGGATTCAGCTTTTCAGGTCTGTCTCCTATACTCACATGAAGAGCACCAGCTGGATGACAGGAGCCATTCGGAGTAGCTCCGAGAAGGAATTAACAAACAGGTCATAGGACAGCAGCAGGAACTGCAGAGACAGTACCAGGCTGTAGTTGCTAGTTTGGAGCATCTTGTGGCTGCTTTTTGAGACTCCCAAGGGCACATTCCACAGTTCTGTATAAGGTAACTTCTGGTTCCCTACTGGGTACTTGGGGAAAGATGTTTAATTTTTCCAAATCCCTGACTCTGATGCAAGGACCTGTTCAGAGGGGGAGAGAATCAAGAAAGGAAGGAATGATAAGGAAGGTGATACTAGAAGCCTAGTAATAAACATTTACTGAGCACCAGTATGCAAACTACCAAGAAAACAAAAACCTAACTGAAGCCCAGGAGTACTGGCATACACTTGTAATCACAATATTCAGGAGCCAGAAACAGGAGGATTGAGAGTTTGAGATTGGCCTGGGCTAAGATAGCCAAGCCTCTTCTCCAAACAAAACAAGACAAAGCCAAAACACACCTATCCTGACTGCCCCACTGCACTTCAACTTGTCATTCTTTCTAGAGACTAATGACTAATTTAAATAGCAGACTTTTCACCATGCCTGCATCCTTTTACATGAGCAGCTCTTTCTTTCCCCCTTCTTTACCTTTTTTTTTTTTTTTTTTTTTTTTTTTTTTGGACTTGCTATGTAGCCCCAGCTGGTTTTTGAATTCTTGATCCCCCTGCCTCCACTTCCTGAGTTCTTGCTCTACAGGCATGCCCCATTACACCTGGCAAATGCATAACTGCATAACTCTAACCAAGAATATTTAGGGGTACTACAGAGAAGTGACAGTCTGGTTATGTTGTAGCTGTAGTAGTAATAAATCCTTATGTATTACATGCAACACTCTAGAGACTGTTTCCATCACAGGTATTATTCAAATCTTACAATAAGCTCATGAAGTAGAAGATACTTTTATTTTCCCCAATTCATAGATGAGAAAACTGAGGCCTAGCAAGGCAAACTAATTGGGTCTAGATTATACAGCTAGTAAATGGCAGAGTGGTATTCTGATGGAGGCACTGTGCGGCCAGCCTATTTCGTAACTGATAGATGTCTAAGTAGGTGGAGGATATGTTTCATACAAATAAGGCAGTGTCTGGCAGAGCTGGGAGGGCACAGTACTTTCCTAGAAGAGTTAATTAAGGTTATGCAGAAACATAGCAGGAGTAAGGGAGCATATTCATAATCTTACTTAATCCCTGGCCTGAAGCAGCCATTTTAGTGCGTATAACCCCCGTTTTGCAGAAGTTCTGAGGGGTCCTGGCACTGTCCACCTCCCGCGGAGCAAAAGCTCCAAGTTATTGGATATAATGGATGTAGCTTCTGTGGGCTTGAGTTTGCACACTCATCTCTATTCTTAGTATCTGCGCCAGGATGATCTTGTTGACCAAGAGAATTTTCTTTAATGCTCCCAACAATCTGCATGGTAGGAAAGAATTCTCCCCTAGCTACAGGCAGGGACACCCGGTTAGAGTTCATGCCAAACGCATCATTTAGCAAAACTCCATCGAGGGCCACTGTGAGCATCCCTTCGCTCTAGCGGTTTCCTTACCCTTCCCAATCCTCCCACAGGTCGGATGCCTCGGCAGAAAGCCCACAGCAAAAGCAATAGCAACAAAAAATCCTGACTTCTGGCCCTCTACGCTCGGCTCATCACCTAGGCTCACCTCAAAGAACCAACGTCGGTTGTCATGGGGACCCAGTTTCGGCTTCCGGAAGCCAACTTTAAATTCCGGAAGTAGATGGCTAATTGCCCGCCATGTTTGCGCCTTCGCTCTCCTGGGCCTGCCCTGTGCCTAGTTGTCCCATGCCCTCTTGCTGAGGGCGGGCCCTAGGCGAGAGGCTGTTAAGGCCAGCATTTCTCCTTCCTTAGGATGGCGGTAGGGCTAGACACAAGGCCAACAGGGCGCAGTGCTCCTAGGAATCTGTCCAGAAACTACCCGGGAACTCGCGCCTTGGCACACAAACTTCATTTCCCAGACGCCCTAGCGAACCATCGGAAGTGCCCGAGCGTATAACATTCCAGGCAGCGCCCTCTGTAGCGAATCCCGCGGACTGCAGGCTTGCCGGAAAGTGAGTTTTTCAACGTATGCAGGAGCCTGGCTAGTTAGTGGCAGCTGGTCGCAGAGACCTGGCCCCGAGGTGTCGCACTGTGTGGTTAAGGGTGAGCCGGGACATGGGTTCCAGTGGTGGTTCCACTGCTTCCTTGCTTCGCGCTGTCATAATCTGGCTGGCATTCAGCCTGCTTTTCCTTTTAAGAATTGGGCGCTTTCCGTTTCCCTTCCATACTGCAGGTGGTGTTTGTAGAGGCTTTCACGCTTTTCAGAAGTCTTATCTAAAACTTGCTAAGACCAAGCTGACCAAAGGGGTCAGCGTCGTACCCCTTGTGTTTCAAACAGATCTGTCTGAAGGACGAAGGAGCAGTCTGTGAGCACTTGTGCTAAGGTGGAATTTACTCACACCCCTGAGTGGAATACTATAGGTCCCTTACTTCTGAGTCTTGCACATTGGAGGAACTCCCCTTGGAAATGAGTTCTGGGAACTGTGGACAGGACCTGGATGCCTGTACCAGGCTTGTCTCTTGCCTTAACCAAGTCCCTCTCCTTTGGATACCAACTTTGCAGTGCTTTGAACTGTTAAGATATGGGTTAATAGGATTTGAACTCTAAACCTGGAGACCAGGATTCTTAATGTCTTTGAGGAGAGGGCAACTAACTGTCCCTTGGTCTGGGAAGTAACTGCACCTGGAGTACAGCCTTTTCCTGAGAAAAAGGACTGAATGGAAGATTCATTTCTTACCCCTGGTTCTGGTTTAGCTCAGCCTATGAGAATCCTTTAACCAGAGAATTGAGGAAAACATTAAAGAGATAAAGATTAGGAACACTTCTTAAACCCGGATAGATAAATGACACCCCGTAGGCCACATCTAACCCTGAGTGGCTTCTCCACTTTTAAACTATGTGGGGGGGTATTCTGTGAAATGTGAAAATCATATGAAACTTAGACATCAGTGTCCATAAAGTGTTAGTGAGGCACAGTCATGCTACGTTTTAAAGATACTCTTCTTGGCTGCTGTTGTATTGCACCAGCCCAGAATGAATGACATAATTGTGGCAGAGACTTTATAAGCCCTCTAAAGCCCAGCGAGTTTGCTGACTCCCCTCCTGAGCATGGGGCTTGGCAGAGTGAGGGTGTGGTGCTCATGTTTTGAAATCCTAGTCCAAAGTGCTCTCTCAGTACAAACGCTCTTCCTCCACATGTGCACATGTTCTTTCCCTTGCTATTGCTAAGTCTGCTACATAGTGGTAATTCAGGACTTCTAAGAGGTGTAAAGGGGATGAGTACAGTTCCTTATGAATTCATAATTTATTTATTTATTTGCTTTCCCGTTTCCCTTTTTTCCTCAAACATACACACACACACAGTGAGTGTGTGTGTGTGTGAATGTCACGTGTGCAGGTGCCTGGGGAGTCTAGAAGTGGGTATTTGGTCTCATGGAGCTGAAGTTACAGACAACTGAGCTGTCTGATGTGCTGGGAACTCAACTCTGGTGCTCTGCAAAACCAATATATACTCTTAATTGCTGAACCCACCCCTGCCCTTTTATTTTTATTTATTTTTTTTGTTTTTTGTTTGTTCGTTTTGAGCTAGGGTCTTATATAGCCAAGGCAAACCTTAACTATGTGCACGTATCTGAAGATGACTCTGATTGCTGGGATTATAGGTATGAACTACCACTCCCAGTTTTAACTTTCAGTACAGAAGATATGTGGAGTTTATTACAGGGTGAGATGCGGGCACCCTCAATTGAGGGGTGAAGTAAACAGTGTTCAGAAAGAACATTTTATAGACCACGTTTCAAGAGGTAAGAGTGGACAATGGCAAAGGAACCATTGCCTCCTTTTTTTCTTTTGTAAAATGTAGATAAATAAACTATAGAAATCAGTATTGTCAGATGACTGGAACATTTCACTGGAGGAACGGAGGTTGTGCTAGGCAGACACTTGATAATCCCAAACCTTTCTTGCTCTTGCATGAATCAGGGAAGCAGCTCTGAGGCTGGGTAACAAATCCCTGGACCCAGTAAGTAGCTCAGTCATGAAACTTGTTTGTTCTCTAGCCCTCATCCCTTTCTCAGAGGTTGCTACTACCATGGGTCTCCTTGTGAGAGTTCAGCATCTGCTGTGGTTGGATGGATAGCCGGCATGGTGTACATATAATCTAGGCTACTGAGAGGCCTGGGAAGGCAGGGGGACCATGATTCTGGTTGGGGGAGTTGGTCTCACTATGTTGTCAGGCTAGTGCTGAACTCCTGTACTCAAGTGATCGTCTTGATTCAGCCTCTCAAGTAGCTAGTAGCATAGGTTCCACCTTGCCTAGCTAGCTAGGTTTTGTTAGTGGATGGCTCAGTGGTTAAGAATGCTGGCTGGCTGCTCTTGCATAGGACCTGAATTTGGTTTCTAGCACCACAACTGACTGACTGTAACTCTAGCTCCAGAGAACCCAACAAACACTCTCTCTCTCTCTCTCTCTCTCTCTCTCTCTCTCTCTCTCTCTCTCTCTCATTCTATGATAATAATAAATATGAAGTCATAATACTTGACTCTCAATAATGTCCTTACTTTTTTTGTTTGTTTGTTGATCACCATAAAGGTCTAAGACTTTAGAGCCAAATAGACAAAAGATTTGAAGCTCCTGTGGACTCGCTCAGTCCTGGTGCTAGACACTTAGTATGTCTGGGGTTTAGTTGCTTTATGTATAGGGTTGGGTGATAGTCCTCACAAAGTTATCAAGAGGAGTAAGTGATACCATGGGCCAGTGTCTAGTGCTCTCATAGCTGGTGCTCAATAGTTTTTATTGCCATGCTTTTCTTTCAGAGAACAAGTCTTGCAGTGTTTTCCTCAGGGTACTCAGACTGAAAATCAGAGATCAGGCCGGCCTTCTCTTGGGTCCGAAGATGAGGATTTGGGTATTCCTCCTTGGTACTATTGGTTATTCTTCCTGTTACTAGAAACAGGTCTGGGACTTTGCCCACTTGCATGGCTCTCTCTCTCTCTCTGGGAATCTAACTCATGACTTGCTTATACTAAACAAGCCCCTGTCACTGAGCTACAAATATAGCCCCTTGCCTGGTTTTTAAGAATAACTGCTTGTGACTTAAATATTCACCAGAGAAAGCCTGAAAGCCGAGTTGGTTACTGGTAGAAATCTAAAAATAATCACTTTCTAGACCATGAGTTCTTGCTTCCTCTTTTCTCCTCTGGACTTTCCCCAGAAAACAGAAAGCAGAAGTCTCAGGTGTAGAAGCAGCTAAGGGGTACCTTTAGTCAAGGAGAGCAGTGGAGGGTCCTGGGGTTGAGGCCTGGCCCCATGGAATTCATCCTCTGTAAGGAAGACCTTTATATACAGAAGTGGGAGCACCTCGAGCTTTTTCACAGGTGATACAATGCTAGGGATTGAGCCTTCCTAGCCAAAAGTCTAGAAGATTATAAAACTTAAAACTTGGGGTTTGGTTTTGTTTTTTGTTTGTTTACTGTGGTTGGTTGGTTTTTGTTTGTTTGGTTTTGGGTTTTTTGTTTGTTTGGCTTTTTGTTTTTTTAAGACAGGGTTTCTCTGTGTGGTTCTGGCTGTCCTAGAACTCACTCTGTAGACTAGACAGGCTCTGACTCAGAGATCGGCCTGCCTCTGCCTCCTGAGTACTGAGTGGTTTTGCTGCCTTGTGTTGGAACCCTAGGCCAGGGAATGTGTGGTCTAGGCATTTAGTGTTTTGATGTGTCTCTTTACTGGTGTGCAGTCATTTCTTACCTCCTTCTGTGTGGGGAGGCTAATCAGTACCCAGGATGTGAGCCCAGGGCCCTGTCATCTCACCAGAGCGGGGGGCGGGGGCGGGGGGGGGGCCTCATTCATTGTGAGCTGACCTCAACATTGAGGCCATCTGGGGACAGGGGAACTGAAGCAAAAGATTCCATACCACAGGTAGAAAGAGAGGTCAATGTCACTTCCTTTAGCTGCTGTGTGGGTTCACCGTAATTAGCCAGGTCATGTGACTTCTGCTTCTTCTAGGAGTTCTTGATCAGAATGGCTTCAGGACGGTTTTACCTTTTCTGCATGGTCCTGGGGTCCCTGGGATCAATGTGCATCCTCTTCACCACCTATTGGATGCAGTACTGGCGTGGCGGCTTTGCCTGGGATGGCAGTGTGCACATGTTCAACTGGCACCCCGTACTTATGGTCTCTGGCATGGTGGTCCTCTATGGAGCTGGTGAGTAATATGTTCACAGTGTAAGGGGCCTGAGCAGGGCAGCACTTACTCTCTCCAAGGATGATATTTTGGGGGGTTGAGTTTGAGGCTATTATGGCAGGATGAATTGGGTTGTTCCTGGGACCAGCTATCATTTGGGGGAAGAAGTAGAATGTGTAGGGGCAGCTTCACAGATACTCAGAGACAGGGTCAGTGAAACTTTCTGTAAAGGACCAGACCATAATTTTTCAGGTTTTGTAATGGTATGATTTAATATGTATTGCAGTTACTCAGTTCTGCATTGTATCATGGAAAACACATAAAACACATGAATGTAACTGTGTCCAATAGAATGTTATTCACAGAATTAGGCAGCAGGCTAGATTTGGCCTGGCACTGCACTTTGACTCCTGCTCTAGAGAACAAGAAGTTGAAGCTTCTTGTATTACAGTTGAGTAGAGGATCCATCTTTGCCCCATGCATTCAAATCTGTGTCCTGTAACATGACAAGTGGAACCCTGGTTGTAGGATGGGGATGATGATAGGGTTGGCAAAAGCTGCTTACCATGTATATGTCATACATATCCCCTCTGGTTTTGACTTTTTTTATGATGTATATGTTGTATGCAGATGCATGTGCACATGTGTGTATGTATGTGAAAGCTATAGGACAATCTTGGGTGTCATCCATTATTAAGCACCTTTAAGTTTTTCCTTTTGTTTTTCAATTTTTTTAAGACATGGTCTTACTGTGTAACCTGGCTGTCCTTGAACTCTCTCTGTAGACCAGGTTGGCTTTGAACTCACAGAGATCCACCTGCTTCTGCCTCTCAAGTGCTGGGATTAAAGGCGTGCACCACTGTGCCTTATCCTAAGTTCTTTCCTACATTATTTATTACTGATGTGGTGGTGGTGCTATCTTTACTGTGGGTTCTAGGTATCAAACTGATATTAGACTTGTGTGGCAAGTGCTTTTACCTCTGAGCTATCTTGTGAACCCCATTTTGTTTGTTTGTTTTTTTTTTTTTTTTTTTTTTTTTGAGGCAGGCCTCTTCACTGACCTGGGGCAAGGCTGGTCTAGGCATCCTGTCTCTGCTTCCCCAGGGCTGGGATTATAAGTGTGGGTTTTGAAAATAAACTCATGTCCTCATGCTCATTCAGCAAGTACTTCACCTAGTGAGCTGCCCTCATCCCCATTCCACCTCCTTGTTTTTTTGAGACAGTGTCTTCCTATGTAGCCCAGCCTGGCTTTGACCTATGCTGCAATCCTTCTGTCTCAGCCTCCTGGGTGCTGGGTGCTGGGATTACAGGCATGTACGACCATGTTTGCTTTCCTTTTTTTTTTTTTTTCTTCTTCAAGACAGGGTTTCTCTGTATAAGAGTTCTGGCTGTCCTGGAACTCTCTCTGTAGAGGAAAGATTAAAAGCATGTGCCACCACCACCAGGTGTCCACTCTGTTCTTAGAGCAGTATGGGGAGACCATGCAAAAACAGTGCTTATCAGCCCACAAAGCTGCATTCAGGATTGAGACAGGACAATTTGGGAAACTGTTCCTCCCATTTTAACTGGCCCTTCTTGTCTTAGTTCCTGGCCAACTGCCTCCCACAAATAATGGGAAGGTGGCAAGTACTGAGTAGTCTTGGTTGGGGTTTCTATTACTGTGATAAAACAGCATGACCAAGAGCAACTTGGAGAAGAAAGGGTTTGTTTCTCCTTAACTTTAGTCCAGAGGGAAGAGAAGTTAGGGCAGGATGGAAGCAGAGGCTGTGGAGGAAAGTGACTTAGGGGGTTGTACCTCATGGCTTGTTCACCCTGCTTTCTTTGCTTTCTTCTTAATCTTTTTAGTCTTTATTGTATGTGCGTGATTGTTTTGTCTGCATGTACATCTGTGCACTGTGTGTATCCAGTGCCTGTAGAGGCCAGAAGAGACTGGGACTGGAGTTACAGATGGCGTGAAACTGTCACTTAGGTGCTGGGGATTGAACTCAGGTCCTCTGGAAGAGCAACCAGTGCTGTTAACCATTGAACCATCTCTCCATCTCTGCTTTCTTATACCATCTAGGACCACCAGCCCAGGGATGGTATTACCTCCAGTGATCTTGGCCCTCCCATATCAATCATTAACAAAGTAAATGCCCTACAGACTTGCCTATAGGCAATCTGATGAGAGGGGATTTCTCAGTCGAGATTCCCTCTTCTCAGATAACCAGCTTGTGCCAAGTTGACAAGAAACCAACCAGGACAGGAGTTGATGTCCTGACACTTATGTGGGGCCACATCAAGGGAGTGTAAGGTGATGTGGCCAAGCTCTGGAACTGTTCTCTCCTGCAGCCTCACTGGTCTACCGCCTGCCCTTGTCGTGGGTGGGGCCCAAACTGCCCTGGAAAATTCTCCATGCAGCACTGCACCTGCTGGCCTTCACCCTTACTGTCATGGGGTTGGTTGCCGTCTTTCAGTTCCACAACCATTCAAAAATCACACACCTCTATTCCCTGCATAGCTGGCTGGGCATCACCACTGTCATCTTCTTCGCCTGTCAGGTAGGTGCCCTCTGCCCTCTCATTCTGAGTCCTTGTGGGTACCATGGGTTCTGGGTGTGGTTCACCAGCCTCAGCTCAAAATATTCTCTGTGCCCTCATATCCTGTAGACTCAGCTATTTAAATGGCCATGAGAGTTGGAGTTCCTACTCTTACCTTGTTCCTTACATCTGTTGGACTGCCCATCCCTCCTGACTTTGTCATCCCACATGTCATGCTGACTCCAAAGCATCCCCTTTTCTGCTTTCTCTACTCTTTCCTCTCTGAACCAAAGCAGTTCTAAAAGGATTCAGTATTCCAATGCCAGTCCTGTACTTGAATTGTTCATGACCCAGGACTGACAGGCATTGAAAGCTAACAAGGATGACAAGGTTTTCGGAGTATATTGCTGCAAACCTTTCACACACAAGTTGCTAGTTGCTTTCACACACGTGTGTAATAGAAATGGGCAGATCACAGTGAGGTGTGGTGTGTTCTTGGGGCTGTGCATGGTGGCAATGTTTGAATTGAAAAAGAAGGGCCCGAGGACAGTGGCCAGCAGGAGTGATAGATGTGATATGGGGGGTAGAGGGAGTGATAGGTGGGTACAACTGTAGTTAACCAGTAGCTTCAGGGACTTACTTCCTTGTGTCTACAGTGGTCCCTGGGATTTGCCATCTTTCTCCTGCCCTGGGCATCTCAGTGGCTGCGAAGCCTCCTGAAACCTGTGCATGTCTACTTTGGAGCCTGCATCCTTTCCCTATCCATCACATCTGTTATTTCCGGCATCAATGAGAAGCTTTTCTTTGTTTTGTAAGTCCTAAGGGGCCTCTAACACTAAGGCATATGGGAGGGAGTAGAGGCTTCAGGAGATGCATCCTATAATCACAGAACTCAGCCAGCAGAGGCCAGGCTCTGGGCTTGAGTCCATTCTGATCTGGAAGGTGATAGTGTGTAGGTTGCAAGTGGTAACCTATCTGAACATCAATAATTACCAAGCATCAAGTGATACAGCACCCACTCTTTGTCAGAAGTTGCTAAAAGCACCCTAGCTTTATTCCTCTTAAGCATTTGGTGCTGTTGTCACAGGAGTGTAATGAGCTAGGCACAGTGGTGCCTGCTTGTAATCCTAGCACCACAGGCAGGCAGATGTTGTGAGTTCAAGGCCAGCTTGGTTTACATAGTTAATTCTAGTTGGGCAGGTCTCCATTGTGAGACCTTATTAAAAAAAAAAAAAAAAAAAAAAAAAAAAGTGTAGTGAGGCACAGAGTAACTTACCTAAGAGCACACAGCTAGAAAATGTCAATCTTCCTCCACGGCCTGTATGTCTAACCACTGCTATCCTGGGTTTGGGGGCAGTATGGTAAAGTGAACAGCAAATAAGACTAGAGATCAGCCTTGGGGTTTAGATCTTGGTTGTGCTATGTACTGGTTATATAAATGTGGTAGGTTCATTTCACTAGGATCTTTGTTTTTCTCATGGAAAAAGCATTTCAAAGTTCTTGCCTGTCATTGTGGTAAGGACTTAGGAAGCATGTTAATTCCAGGTCATAGAAATCTAGTCTCCTGATAAGCTAAAAAAAAAAAAAAAAAAAAAAAAAAAAAAATTAGAAAATTCTTTCAAAGACCTACATTATTTTGTCATTTTCAGGAAAAATGTCACCATGCCCTACTCCAGCCTGCCTAGTGAGGCAGTCTTTGCCAACAGCACTGGGCTCTTGGTGGTGGCTTTTGGCCTACTGGTTCTCTATGTTCTTCTGGCTTCACCATGGAAACGTCCAGATCCAGGAGCTCTGACTGACAGACAGGTATGGCTGTTTGTCTTCCATTCTAGGTGGGGTAAGGCCAGGTCTAGAGAAGGTCCCAGGAAGGACTTGTACCTTGCTGAGAAGATTGATCCTGTAGCTGGGTGGAAAGCCAAGCAGCTTGAGGATGGAGATTGAATGGTAGATGGGGACTCTGGCATCAGAGCAGCCAAGCCTGGGAGTGACTTTCCAAGCTTCCTCCTCCCCTGCAAGAGTCCTTGGCTTTGTGAGATGACACACGGAAGGGCTTGAGCCTGTTGAAGAAGTCTGCCAGCTCTGTGGCTAGACTAGTGGGACCAGTGCTTAGTGACACATCAAGGACTGAAAGCAGGTTTTGCCTGTGTTTGGCTACTGAGTCTTTCTGCAGATGTGGGAAGATGTACTATGAATCAGTGGCAGGGACTTTGGGGCTTTCCTGAAAGATCTGGTGGCTCGGCTGGGTTCACCCTGCAGGGGAAGGGTCTATCAGAGCACCTTAGGCCTGGTGTGCCTCCTGAAGCTCAGGGGCTCTTTCAAGGTTATGCCTTTAATCCCTGTGCATCTTCCTTCTTTCCAGCCTCTGTTGCATGACAGGGAGTGAAGCTGGCAGGGGCTTCCAGGAACAGTCGGTGGTGCAGTCTCTGCTCCCTCAGAAGCTCTTCTGTACTTGGAGCTCCTGGCTCATTTCAGCAATCAACTTCTCTTGGACCAGAGACAAACTTGTTACTCCAGTTCCTGACTCTCTCCAGCCACTTGCTGTCCATCTGCTTTTCTTGATGGCTTTGACTTGTTGGCATTTTACCCCCAAGGGCCGCCTTGCCTTGTTTCATGTCTCTTCTGCTGGTCTACAGAATGGGCTGCTTTCTCCTCATCACTCCTAGGGATGTGGTAGAAGCCAAAGCAGAGGCCGAAATGTAGTTCATACAGGCAAGATAGGAAGTCTGCTGTCTGTGGGAGCGTTTGTGTCCAATAGGTAGGGTTCCTCAGCTCTGTCCTGGATATGCATTTGGGTGAGCAGAGACATTGGGAGGTACTAATAGGGTAGTAACAGCAGGAGAGGCTTTGCAGAAATCAGGTGCTGGTCACTTGAGCTACTCTGTTCTCTTTGATGTACTGTGTTGTATATATTGTGACTATGTGGCTCCCCCTCTTCTAGTTGCTGCTTCAATTGCTGCCTGGATCTCGCCCTTTCCCTGTGACTTACATGCCTGTCCCCCTCAACCAACCCTATGCGCCCTGGTAAACTGTCCTCCCGTGAACAGAGAGCCTGACCCTATAGCCCCAAGTGATGAACAACAGAGGTTTCTGTGACCTTCCTTTCTGTCCCCTTGTGGGTATGGGCTTTCTTGCCTCTAGTCATGCTCTTCCCTGAAAGGGTCCAGCCCACTATGAAATTGAAACCAGCATTATGAAGCAGTTTGCTGGGCAGAGTTCTGGGAGCCACTGCTGACTTCAGAGGTGTTCTTTATTGAGTACTGGGTGCTTTTGTCTGCCCCTGCCCCCTCCCCAAGCCCACCCACCCTCCCTCCATGGTATGCCAAAGAGTGAGCTTTGCTCTTCTCCTGAATAGAAACTGGGTAGAAGGGAGGAATCTTGCCCCTCTGCTTTGTATTAGCCCATGGCACTTCATACCTTCTTAGATAAGCCCTGCGAAGTCCTTGCAAACTCTTGTGCTTAGCAGACCAGTAGGAGGAGTTGGGTTCCTGACTCCCTACAGATAGTGATCAGGCTGAACTTCAACCCTGTTGCCAGAAATTGTCAGGAGGCTGGCATGGACTTCCTGACAAATGAAACCTGCACACCCTTGGCATTACTGTGAGCACTTGGGACATGTGCTGGTTTACTCATGAGTGGGTCTTCTACTTCTTCATGAATCTGGTTTTTATTAAATGTGTTTTTAAACACTAAAGGCGTCTTCTTATTTCTCATACTTTGGGAGGCTTGAAGTCCAAGATAAAGGCAACAACACGTGTCTGGTGAGGGCCACTCCCCACTGTCTTCATACTGTGGTTTCACATGGTGCAGAGTACAAGTTGTTCCCAGACTCGTATAAATGATGGTGCATCCCATTCAGAAGGGTCCCACCCTCACCCATAATCACTTACAAAGGTCCTGCCTCTCTCTTGTTATTTTTGAGACAGTGTCTCAATATGGAGTCCTGGCTGGCCTGGAACTTTCATGTAGACCAAGCTGGCCTCAAACTCATAGAGATCAACATTCCTCTGCTTCCAGAGTGCTCAGACTAAAGGCTGTGCCTCTTAATTCCATCACATTAGGGATAAAGTTTCAAGCATATGATTTCTGTTGGAACACAGAAGTTGTCTTTGCTGACATGACAATGTACTCAAGTGAGAGTTTTGGCAATTTACAAAGGCCTCAGGACAGACTTGACCCTGATAGATGCAGAGGAGGGCCAACCAGAAATCCATGATTATATTCTTGGAATTGCAAACTACTTAAATTTGAGTGGTGTCCTTCTCCTTTCATTAGGGGAGGGGGTTCCCTCCCTTAAGTCTGGAAAACAAGACTCAAGAAGGAGTGAAGGTGGAAAGGCAGAGTTGGGATCCACAAGTCATTGTTTGATGCCAACTTTTTCCTCCCTGTTGTCCACATGTCTGTACATGCTGACAACTAGCTTTGTTGTCAGGGACTTCTGATGGAGCAGGTCCACAGGTCAAGGGGTTTCAGTGCCTAATCTGAGAACACAGATGATGGGTCCCTTAGCCATGTCTTAGTCTAGCTGGCTATAGGAAGGGGGTGTGCCTGACACCAGTGCTAACACTTGCTCTGGTGACAGCACTAAAACACCAGGCTGCCAGGTCCTAACACTCACCTGCGTCTTCATGTTCTTATAATGGTTATCATTCTGAAAAACAGAGAATCTTATTTTGTGTATGTAGGCATGCTTGTGCCACATCACATGTGGAGGCCAGAAGACAGCTTTATCTCCTGACACTTAATGGGCTCTGGTGATCAAATTCAAGTTGTTAGGTCTTCAGGCTACTACCTGCTGAGCCATCTTGCTGGCCTGAGATTGGTATCATTGAGTTTTATAGATCTCAAATAGGCAAATATGGGCATGCTTTCCCATAACTGACTTAAAACAGAACCAGACTTTACATGGATATGACCTATCAGTGCCTTGAATCACTTCTCTACACTGAGGATGTCATGCCTGGTGTGAGCTCTGTCTGTCTTAGGCATCAGTCTTTCAACTGGTCAGGGTATAGGCAATGATTGCTCTAGAGCAGTGCATTGTGACCCCTTTGGCAAACCTCTAACTCCAAGAAAACTTACATTATAATTCTTAACAGCAAAATTACAGTTATGAAGTAGCAATGGGAATAATCTTATGGTTGGGGTCACTGCAACATGAAGAGTGGTGTTAGAGTTGCAGCATTAAAAAAGGTTGAGAACCACTGCTCTAGAGAGACCCTGGGCCTGGATGACTGCAGCTTCTGAACTATACCGGAGCCTCAAAACACAGCAAGTCCATTTCTTCTGGGGATCCAATACCCATTAATTTCTGAAGCATCAGTATACCTAGTGCAGAGAAAAGACTTTGTGCCAGTCTGGCATGCATTGGTATGGGAAAGGTGAGTCCCCATGGAACCAGCCCAGCTGAGCAAAACCTGTCTGGAGCACAGGTGATGAACTGCCTGCCTAGAGGTAGTTCATGGTCACAATGACCAGGGCTAAAGTCAAAGATGAGGCAGCAGCTTGTGGCTTCAATGGGTTTTATTAGCTTTCCTTCATCCACTTCTAGAGGAAAAGGCCTGGAGTCTTGAAACCAAATGGGTGCACCCAGGTAGGGTCTGTGCTGTGCTTTGGAAAAGCCTTATCACTGACATTCAGAGTGGGGTGAACATGACCCAAGGGATCCCTCTTCCTGAGGAGGGAAAGAGCGGTGCTGGTGGAGCACGTGATCTACTCAGCCATACACTGCTGTTCTGGTGTGGTGGAGGATGTCCTGCTTCACGAAGCGGATGGGAGCGAGAGTGAGTGAGAGGTAAGGTGACCACATGAAGGCAAGAGAACGAACAAGGAGGGGAGGGGACAACCAAAAAGGCAGTCACGCTCCCTGTGACTGCAAGACCTCCAGGATGGCACGTAAGATGGCAGCAGCTGCCACTGCTCCAGGGTCTGGCTGATCTAATCGTGCAGAACTGATGTAACTAGCTCTTCCAGCACCAGCTTCCATGTTCTTGGTGGCCTCGGCTGCAGCTTCAGCACTCTGAGGACGTGTAGGAGTAGGCTTAAGTACATGACACTAGGCCTTTCCTTTCCCACTGGACCCTGAAAATCTGTGCCTGGACCCTTTGTCCTGTTCTGTCATCAATCTCTGTGCCATCACTCCGCAAGGAATAGGTCCCCTATTGGCTGAGCCTTAGGTCAGGCTAGGCTAGGCTCAATGTATTTCCCTACCCATGTAACTCTTTCTGAGACAGGTGTTCACCCCTGCTTTGACCAGGTGGAAATGAAGCTGGAAAAGGCCATTACATTGCTTAAGGCCATCTAGGGATTGGAGCTTAGAGGCTCCTTGATTGTCCAGCCGAGCCTCACTCACCTTGACTGCTTTAGTCAGGACTGGGAGGAAACTGGCTCCTGGGTTCTTCCAGGCTTGGAGCTCCTGTCCTGCTGCCCACAGAGAATCCAGCTGAACAAGGTCAGAGAGAGGGGGTTGAGAAGAAGCCCTGCCATGGACGGTAGCTATAGAGCTTATGGGCTCAAAAGGGGTGAGGGGAGTTACACTCTGAGTACACACCATTGTCCTGTCTCCTGGTGCAGCCTTTCCATACCTGACAGGATGAGCAAGATGGTTACTTTAGCTGTTAGGACAGAGCCTGCCTGGGAGCAGGGGACATCTATCACCACCTCCCCAGCACACCCCCTGGTGTTAAGACACAGACAGGACCCTAGCTCACTTCTGCATGGCTGCCAGGCCGGCATCCATAGCAGCAGACCAGGTTGGGAGATCAGTCTTGGCTTTGAGAGGCTGAGCAGCTGCAGTCAGGAACAGGCCATAGAGCTGAGAAAGGGAAGAATGCTGAGTACATAAAGCTGGCTGGCACCCAGCCAAACCTGCATCCCTCTCCATCAGTCTGCCCTTCCAGGGCCTGCTTCTACTCACCGCCCCAGATGAGCCTCCCATCCTCTCCAGAAGCAGGACAGATAGTTTGGAGAGTACCTGGGCAGGGCTGGTTAGAACTGGGCCCTCCTTTAGCCAGCCCTGGATGGCTGCAGGTAGAGAGACAGGTGACCCTTCAGAGGTACTTCTTTTTCTCTCCCTAGTGTTACCCTGATTGGTCTTATTTACTGAGGGATGTGCTTTCTGCCTGATTTCTTTCTTTCTTTTTTTCTTCTCTTTCTCATTACCCTAAGTTGGCCTGGAAACCCTCATGAGCCACCATTGCCGACTAAGTACACTTTTAGAACCATGGAGATGGGAATAGTGCTTGGCTTGAGGTATATGCTGAATGCATCTACCATCCATCCATCCACCCATCCATCCATTTTTCAAGACAGGGTTTCTCTGTATATCCTTGGCTGTCCTGGAACTCACTCTGTAGATCAGGCTGGCCTTGAATTTAAGAGATCTGCCTGCCTCTGCCTCCCAGGTGCTGGGATTAAAGGCATGCACCACCACTGACCAGCAGAATGCATCTTTCTTTCTTTAAAATGAACTGCTTTTTAAAAATTTATTATTTATTTTAGGTGCATTGGTGTTTCGCCATGGCTGTTGGGTTCCCTGGAATGGAAATTACAGACAGTTGTGAGCTGTCATGTGGATGTTGGGAATTGAACCCAGGTCCTCTGGAAGAGCAGTCACTGCTCTTAACCACTGAGCCATCCCTCTAGCCCCAGAATGCATCATTCTTCTTTTTTTCTTTAGCATCTGAGAGTGGACTTTCTTTCTGTGATCGCTCTCCCATTTGTAGTGTGGGAAACTCCTTTCTTTTGGGAAGATAGGTTGAGGAGTGTGCCAAATGGCCTCACTGGGTGAAGAAAGGCAGCAACTTTATGAAAGCCCCTAAATGTTTTAGAATATGTTTCATGGAATGTCCAAATCTAAGAGCTAGTATGCCATATTAGTCCTTGAGCACCCCATAGAGACCAACCTTTGGCAGCATGGCTATGGGTAATGCCACAATCCCCGTCACCAGCAGCCCTGTCCAAGGCATTCAGGTGCTCCTCCAGTCTGAGCAGGGTGGTGCATACTCGCTCCAGCACGAGCACCATCTGCTTTGACACCACACCTAGAAAGGGAGGACAGTATGTGGAAGCCTAGTTGGACCTTCACACAGCCAAACTTGATCAGCGTGAGAGGTACGGGTGTCTAGGTCCCTGTATACCCCATCATGTAACCTTTGGTGCTCAAGCCAAAGTCATGACCACCAGGGACTCTTGCCCACCTCCATCAGCAGGTCCAGTACCTTCTGCTGCAGTGGCCTCGGTGACCTCTGGAGGCTCTGTGGGAGCTGCTCGGATCCGCTTACGCCCAGTTACAGAGACCTTGGCCATGTGAGGCCAGGCTGTTGCAGTAGTTTCAGCATCTAGAAGCAGCCGCATAACTTTTTCAGACAAGATCAAGGGGGAGCCTGGACTCCCCACTTGGTCCTGAAGACTGGTTCCCTAAGCTGTCTGCAAGAAAGCTGTCTAAATCAATATGAATATACTGAGAGTCTACTGCATACTGAGTGGAGGCGGGGCATGTACCTGGAGAGAGGAAGTCACTAATACCAACTTTGCAAAGTTGAGTGAGAGGTGAAGGCCAAAAAGCCAGAAAGAGCCTCTTGACAGGTCTAGAGCCCAGACTGTCACCATCAGCCCTATGTGGTCTCTATGCTAGAGCCTGTGGATGGACAATGGTTCCTTTTAGCAATGCCTTTCTTACCTATCAGCTTCAGCAGGGGTTCATCCACAAGCATCAGCGTAAGGGAAACACCAGACATCTCCAGTGCAGACATGAAGGTACCCACTAGGGCACGGGCGACCTTCACCCCACGGCCCTCTGCAATGCCAAGCACAGAAGCCTGTGAGTGGGAAAGGGAACTACCACAGAGCATCTTAAAAAGAAACCAAAAGCAAAACAAGGTCCTTGCGGGTTGAGGCCTGTGATGACCTGATTTCCTCAGAGCATCCCTCAGTGACAGCCCATTGTCACATTCCTTGGAGGTATCCCCTCCGGAGGGACTGAATAACAGCTCTCATTTACTGAGCTCTTAGCAGGCACTAGGTATCCTACATATACTTAATCACATTTAATTCTCATAACCACCCCTAAGGCAGGTATTGCTATTACTACTCCCAGACTCAGGACCCTAGCAGTTTAGAGGCAAAAGTAACAATTTAACTCAAGCTTGTGACTTCTCAGCTGATGTCCTGGGCCATCACAGGACACTGCCTCAACTGCTTTTCTTACGTCTAGGTTTAAAACGGGTTCAAAGGGATAAGGGAGCTAGGCATGGAGACAGAGGCAGGAGAACATCTGTGAGTTCAAGGCCAGACTGGTCTACAGAGTGAGTTCAGGCCAGCCAGGGCTACATAATGAGACATTGTTTCAAAAAACAAAAAAGGGCTAAGGGACCTCTTGTAGTGTGGGCTCACCCAACAAACGTATGGCAGCATCAGCTATGATGCTCAGTTCCAGGAAAGACAGGCCACCCAGATTGTTGACTATCAGCACCACTGAAGAGCCTGTGGATAGATATGACACCCTCCGTGAGACTTCTGGTGGCCTCTGTGTAGAGGGGCAGGAAGGGTTTGGAGACTGGAGACCATAGGCTACTCACCTGACTGTACAGACACATGGGATACATTGGAGGTGTTTGTCATGTGGTCAAGCATGAGAGTCACAATCTGATCAGCAGGTGCCATCTGTTAGAAGAAGCAGGAGTGAGCTGTTTCTGGGAGGCCTCAGGGCTGGGCTAGGCTAGGCTGAGCAAGTAGTCTAGTTACCTTTATCCGGTTAACACCAGCTTCCCCGTGGATCCCTGTGGAGAGATTTGGTCAATACTGTATAGCTCACAGCCTACTGATTCTCTTACTATGGTTTTACCAATGACACAGAAAGTGTTCAGCACAAGGTTGGGCACAATGAGTGTGAACAGTGGGTAGAAAAGGAAAGAATAATGAAAAACAAGGCAGCATGTGGTGTGGTGGCAGAGCTAGCTGGGAAGTCACAGAGGCCATAGGACACTAATGATATTGTGTTAGAAACACCGGGAGAAGTAGAACATGTCAGTCACAGACAAGGTGTCCTTTGGATCAGAAGGGCTATACACTGGGGCTTGAGTAGTACATGCAATGATGTGGGTAAAAGTGAGGTAGGAGGAATATGGCACTCTATGTGTCCATAGCCTGGACACAGATGGCAAAGTAGATAGAAGTCAGGCAGGTTGGTCTAGGCTGTGCCTCATGTGCCCACCTATGAATCTAGAGATCACCTGGGGGACATCCAGTAAGCAGGGAGGGACAAGTAGACAACTCCGGGACCTTAGAGGTAGACAAAACTCAATGCAAAGGACAGGCATGGCAGGGGCACGGTGGCCACAGGCTTACCCAGGCCTAGTTCCACTTCATCAGCTGCGAGCTCAAAGGTGGGTTTGGAGCCAGGGACACTACAGGAGGACAAGCTCACCCCAAGGGTACCTAGGAAAAATGAAGCATGGAAGAGATGGTGGTTCCGCCTTGCAGCAGGTGCCAGGATGGCAGCAGTAATGCTGTGGAGGCCTGGCTATAGGCATCTCTGAGCAGGCTGCCCAACTCTTCACCTTACTGATGAACAGAGTCCAAAGGCCTCCAGGCTCCAGGGCATCCCCCAGGGGACCCTCCCCCAACTCCGCAGGAGACATGGAAAGGCTTCTGATAGGAGCCTGCTCTCAGTTCCCATGTCAGCCACATCCTCCTATCCTTAGAGCTGACACTCACCCATGGCCTTGGCGACCACGTTCACCCGCTTTGCGATCTCCTCCAGCCCCATACCTTCCTCAGCCAGAGCACCTGCCACCTGTAGCCACCCAGAGAGAAAGAGAGACAGGATAGTGAGTGGAGGGGTCACTGGATCATTGAGAGCAGAAGACAGGCTGGGAAGAACTTACTTGTTGGGAGGGAGAATCTCAGGATTTCTATGTTAAATGTGGTCCATCACATTTAGGGTAAAAGAATGTTCTCTCCTTATTTATAACATACTTGCTGGGAGTCTTCAAGAGTTTTTGTTTGGGGTGGGGGTGTGGATCCATGGTAGAAGGCTTGCCTGGTATGCATAAAGCCCATTCACAGCAAAACATATACACATATTGTCACATATTGTCATTCTCTTTTCCCTCCCTCCCTCTCCACTGTAGTCTAGTGAAGCTGAAATGGACTTAAGAGAGAGAGAGAGAGAGATTAGCCTAGAGAAGGGGTGATTTATTCAATATCACACAGTCTGATGCTGATCAGTTTCCTGATTCTTAGAGCTCTTTCTTCAACAGCATACACTTCAGCTTGATTTACTCTTATTCCATTCATTCATTCACCTTCCTACTCAGTTTTCACTAAGAATCTACTGAGCTGGAATGAACAAAGGAAGACTGAATCAAAGTCTAAGGAAGAGAAGCAGAGACACACACTGAAAATTACTGCAAGATGGCACATGTATCAGGAGGCTGAGAGAGCCCAGAGAAAGGCTTTTTGGTGGCTCAGGATGCTGAGGGGATCAGGGAGAGTACCACATGAGCACCATTGGCCTCTGTGGAATGTCAGCAGTGAGCCAGGCCACAGAAGCCTGACCGGAGAAAGGATTTTGTAGGGACAGATATGGCACACATAAAACCACAGATACAGGTAGGGACCTGATGTTTATGGAGCATAAGGGGAAGAAATGGGTGCTGGGCAGTGAAGTCAGGAGTAAATGAGCTGGGACAGGAGTGTGGTGGTGTAGAGGCTGGGGAGGCAGCTCACTGGCTAAAAGCACTGGCTGCTCTTGCAGGAGATCCAGGTTTGGTTCCCAGCACCCACATGGCAACTCAGAACTGTATAACTCCAGTTCTAGGGGATCCAATACCCTCTTCTGGCCTCCTCTGGAATTGGAGTTACAGACAGTTGTGACCTAACATGTGAGTGATGGGAACCAATCCCAGGGTAGCCAGTGCTGAACTATCTCTCTGGCTCTCAAATAAATAAAAAGATTGTGGTGGGCACCCCCAACCAAGGGGCTTGAACTGACTATGGGAACCTAAGATGCTCTCAGTGAGATGAAAATTGGACATATACACATTTTTGGCTGTCTAAGCTAGCCTCAAATCCAAAATCCTCCAGACTTAGCCTTCTGAGTGCTGATCAATATGCATTTTAAAGACAGCCCTGGGGGTAGTGTGGGCAACAGACTGGCAAGGCAGAAGTGCACAAAGCAAATAGGGGAGCCCAGTGAGAAGGTGAGTGCAGTTGTAAGACCAAGAGCCATGATGCACAAGCGCACATGGTGAAGGCATTTAGGGCAGGACATGAGGAAGACCTGTGCTGCCTTGGGAGAAATGCAAGCAAGGGACAACTGACCAGGAGTGGGGAGGGGAAGGAAAGGGAACTGGTCTAGGAGAGTGCTGCATTCTGGACCTAATGGCTGAAGCAATGGTGGGGACTTGGTAATTCAGGGTAAAGAAATGGCTGGTCTTCAGTGTCCCAGGGCATGGAGGCTAACCTTGTGGATAAGCACTGTGCCGCACAGGCCACGCCGGCCTGCCTTCTTCAGGACAGTGAAGGCACTGTCATCCCCAATTACCACCATCTCCACAGAGATGCCCTCAGCCTTGGCCTGCTCCATGGCAAATCCAAAGTTGAGTCGATCCCCAGTGTAGTTCTTCACGATGAGGAGGGTGCCCGCTGCAGAACCAGTAGCATGGTATCATTAGCCCTGCCCTCACCCATCCCCAACGTGCCCACCCACAGCATTTTCTCCCAGATGCAAGCCTGACCTGTGCCTGCTTGGGCCACAGCTCTAATGGCTGCCAGGATGCTGCCCACAGCTGGAGAAGCGAACACGGATCCTGCAATGACCCCTGTCAGCATTCCCTTCCCGATAAAACCTGGAGATGGAGAGAAGTAAGGATGCTGGGTAGAGTCTATACCTGTTATCCCTGGAGTTTCCCACATGCCTGAGCTCCATGTTTGGGTAAGCCCTACTGTGTGCTTGTGCTACGGATAACCCCTCCATGGGAGTCATGTTGGAGGGGCTTCCCCTGACTTCTAACATGAAGAACTCTGTCCCTTCCCATCATTTTCTGGTCCTCTTCCTGTTCTTTTCACATAAAGCTTTGGAAAAAAAGATTTACTGAATGTTTTGCACGTGTGTATGTGTGTGCACTCTGGTACCATGTGTGTGCCTAGTGAGGTTAGAAGAGAGCAGTGGACCCCATGATGGTTGTGAGCTGCCATGTGGACGTCGGGAACTGAACCTGGGTCTTCTGCAAGAGCAACAGGTGCTTTTAAGAGCTGAGCCATCACTCCTGCGCCTCACTGTACATTCTATTGTCTGTTATATCCCTTAAGGTTCTCTGAACTGCTCTTACTCACATCTGTCTTCCTGGAGTGGGGCATAAAAGTTCCATAAAGTACAGGGCCAGGCTTGCTAAGATGTGCTGAATGAATAAATGGAATACTGAGGTGGACAGGAAAGGTACAATTGACACAAGGTCTGAACCCTGTTGTAGGGGCTCCTAATGAGGGCTAATATCCCTGGCATCAACAGGAAACCAGCTAGGATGGCTCAAGTGTGGGAAAAGGCATGGTAGGGATGCAAAATATGGATTCTGCTTTAGACTGGCAAAGTCAGGAAAGTTTCTTGGAGGTGCTGGGTCAGTGGAACTGGGAAAAAAGGCAAGAGAGACTTTTGCCATCACCAACTCTTGTGGCCGGGAGAGCCTCAGAGACTATCTGGCTCAACCTTGTATTTCTAGAGCTGTAAGAATTCAGATGCAGAAACAGGCTGCGACTGTCCTTGGGTTAGCCGGGAGTGGGAGGATGGAGACTGGGCCCATTCTTAACTCTGGCCTCACAACTCTCTGTCTGGTACTTCATACTAGCACAAAGGATCTCCCAGGATCCTACTGTGCTCTGGCCAGTACCTCTCACCATCAACACAAGATACTCACCAGCATGGGCAGGCTCATGGCCCGAACCTCCACCCGAAAGAAGTGCAACCCGGCCTTTGAGGCTGTCCAGGTCAGAACGTAGGGCCACACGGTGCCCCTGTAGGAGCTGCAGGTTAGGGTTGCTGGCCACTATCCCAGCAAGGGCATCATTAGCACACTCTTCCACTGAGTTTACCAGCTTCTTGGAGGTCTATGGAGGAGGAACAAGAGGAGGTTCTGAGTGTGGTCAGCAGGGACTCCCATCCTGGCCAGCAACTCTACTGGGCCACATTTCCCCAGGAATCTCATGCTAGAGGAAAGGAATTACAGGAGCCACTTAGGAATTCCAAGGACACAGTGTGCCCTGAATTGTTTCATTACCTGGTGGATGTCTCTGTCACTTTTCAATTTCCAACTTTTTTTTTTTTTTTTTTTTTTTTTTTTGAGACAGGGTTTCTCAGTCTAATAGCCTTAGCTGTCCTGGAACTTACTCTGTATGTATACCAGGATGGCCTCAAACTCACAGAGATCTGCCTTCCTCTGCCTCCCAAGTGCAGGGATTAAAGGTAGGTGCCACCACTGCCTGGCAATTTTTAACTATTTATTTAGTGCTTAACCTATAAGCTTTTTGCACTATGGTTTCTGTCTATCCTGAAAACCAGCTTCAATGTAAAGCAACTGGGGAGTTGGTGTCCTCACTAGGAAAATAAATAATGCAATTGGGGCCCTGTGTGTTTCTGTCAGAGGAGGAGGTAAGTTTTAGGCAGAGGCTCCTGTGATGGGGGAAGGGCCTGGGCAGGCTCCACACCTATCTGATGCTACAACTGGGCTTCATGTGCTCCAGCTGGACCTCTCACTGGGTGGCGGTGCCCAGTGCTAGGCCCTGCATATTTACAGAGAGTAGAATGCTATTCTTGCCCTCCATGGGAACATGAATGTCATTTTTACATGCTATGTGAGAGGGACACACACATGCATGGTAGCACAGATGAAAGGGACCTTAATCTCCTGAAGGGATTCAGGAAGTCTTCATGAAGAATAAGTATGTAGGCATTGGGAAGAGGGGATATTCTGGACAGAAGGAAACATAAGCCAAGACATGGAGGTGTGTAATAAATAGTACAGTAGATCCAGGAAGCATCAGAGTAACCCAACCAACATGGGGCTGGCAGGAAGAGGCAGGCAGGGACCTCATAAACCACAAGAGGAATCTTGTGAAAAGGAGATATTAGGGCCAAAACCTCGGCTCTGCTACCCCTACCAAACTAGACTCATCTATGTGTCCTCAATAGGCCAACAAAGAGACAACACGAGTTCAAGGTTAGCATCAGCTACACACAGAGTTTGAGGTCGCCTGTGTTACATGAGACCCATGAATCCCAGACTCATTAAAAACTGAAACAAGGTGCTGTACACCTTTTATTCCAGAACTCATGAGGCAGAGGCAGGTGGATCTCGAAGCCAGCCTGGTCTACAGAGCAAGTTCCTGGACAGCTAGGGCCACACAGAGAAACCCTGTCTTGAAAAACTAACTTAACAAAACCAAAACAAACCCAAAACAAAACCACAACAACAAAACAATCTTTAAACAAAAAGCCCAATCATTCTGGTCAAGGTGTGGTTCTGCCCATCACTCTCTGCTCTAGTTGCTTGGTGGTCTGAAACATTGTCAGAACTGTGTGAAATCTCTTCCTGGCAGTTTCTCCTGACTAGCACCAGAGCTTCTGTCTTTATCTTCCCCCAGCATGAAATTCCAATTTCATGGGGGCGGGGGAGCATTGTTTTAACAGTCTGATAGCTAACATCTGAAAGGGTGCAAGTCTCTCTTTAGAATGTCTTTCTTCCTGCCAGGACAGTTACACTGTGATAAGGTAGGGCATACTTAGGAGGGAGGTTGTGCAAAGGCTGGCCTAAGAACTTCAGAGAATACTTCTGGGTTCAGCTGAGCCTTCACAGGGGTTGTAGTCAGAAGGGAACTGTGTGGGACTAGAATAGTTGAGAGCTCAGGCGCTATAGCCACTGGGACTTGGGATCAAATCCCACTCCTGTCTGTCATAAACTATGAGAACTCAGGGAAGAAACATCTGTTCTGAGCCCAATTTTTCCTCTGTGAAACTGCAATTTACTAGAGTAGAGCTTGCTCCAGTGTCATGGGAAAAGCCCACTAAAAAGGACCTACAGTCCCTTTTGTCAACAGGCTTTCAAAAGCTAGAGCTAGCTAAACAACAGTTGTGGGCTGGGAAGCAGCACCCTGTCTTTGTTCTCAGGAGGCCAGTGGAACTCAAGGTGGACCCTGAGGAGGCTGCCGGCGCCACCTAGTGGTCTGCAGCAAACCCAGGTCCCAGCAAAGTACACTTCCTGCCTCCTTTCTGAGCCTGCCAGTACCAAGCAGGAACCTTTATGCAAAATGCAGCACTGATGTCTCTCCCCTGCCAGGCTCTTCTCCATTTAACAAGAGCCAATGCCTTAACACTTGTTAAATGTTAAGGAGAGAAGTAGGCAGCAAGGGGAGGAAGATGGGTTCAGTTTCTTCAGCATTACACGAGTCAGACTATTTCTAAGTACTTACTAACTAACATGTCTAATTTAATTTCCCCAATAACCCCTTGGAGGAAATGTTAGCACAAAGAGGAAACTGAGGCACAACAAATGACTGCTCTCAGACTCACACAGCCAGCAAGTGCGTAGACCTGCCTGGTTTATCCCAGCCACATGCCGCTTTCCCAAGTTGCTGAAGCTGATATAGCCTGTCCGAGGTCTTGCCCTAAGAAAGCACAGTGTGGGGAAAGAGGGATCACTGCATATAGTGGAGTTGGAAAAGAAAGGCAAGAAAAGGGAGGTACTGTGTGAGGCCACTAGGACTCTAGTCATCCACACTACACAGCAACATGGTAGCAGGTCTTAATCTACCATACTGCAGATGGGGGTGTGGGAGAGGAGAGGTTCAGAGAGGTCAAGCCTTCTGCACAGTAGTAACACAAGTGGTGGGGGTTAGGCTGAAATATGAACTCAGGTCTGCTCAACATCAGTTTTAAGCAAAGCCCAGGGGCATTGTGAGCTTCCATATAGCATTTCTCCACTCTGGGAGCAGCCCACACATGCCTGGGCTGAGAAGCAGGCACCAGATCATTCTTCCTGGTTCCCTCCTTGACTAGTAAAGCGACTTATTACACGGAAAGTAACTTGTTCTGATCTAAACACATGACTGAGATCCTAGCCCTAGGGGTTTCAGAGTGTCTCAGACCTGACTTGGCCCAGAGGCCTGCAGGAAAGGGAACAGGGATCAAGCCTGGAGATAACAGCTGAAACTCTTGACTTCTGAACCCCAGGAAGCAGCAGCATCTCAGTTGGGGAACAGGGAGATTCAGGGTGTTTAGAGAGGAGATCCCCATGATCCTCCCTCTACTATGCCCCCCCCCCAAGGACTCACCATGGTAAGGAAGCTCTGAAACAAGTTGGGCTCACACTTCTGTTCCTAGCTGTTGCAGAGTGGCCAATCCTGAGTGCTACCTGGTCTGAAGTGGAGGCCGTGCAGCACCTGCAGGGGTAGTGAGGATCTGAACCTCGGAAGGCACTGGCAGCCAACTGACACTGACACAATCATGCCTCCAGTGCCTTAGGAATTAGGGAGCTGCCTCAGACTTTGATCCAAGTCCAAACTCTAGTACGTGGGCTAGGGATGGAGAGCAGCATGGGGCTGGCCAAGGTTCACCTCCACACTTGGCCTGAAGACAAATCAATGCATGTTGGGCACAGTATTGCCTCTCAGCCGGAGCAGCAGCCACTTCCTCATCAAGGAGCAAAGTTATCCACAGAGTAACTTCGTATCTTACATGGATATCACTAATGGTGAAAATGTCCAAAGATCTTCACCTTGCTGCCTGGCCATACCAGGATCAAACCTTCAGTCAGACCTGGTTTAACAGTGTTGTTGGTCTAGACTAAACTCCGCCCATCTCTGCCTCAACTTACTGGGGGACTTTTAGTTAAACTGACCCCCTTAGGCCTCAGCCTCCTCTATACAGCAGGGAGTTAGCGCCCCTGAGGCATTTTGCAGATGCTTTCAGCCTCAGCTGCTCCATGTGGGGGTGGGGGCGCGGAGGCTGTCTGATGAAGCCTGGGGCCTAGATTTCTAGTGCAGACTGCACTGGGCCACCTGATCATTAGGGCTCTTGCTGTGAAATCCAGTGTTGCATTTGCGGTCAGAATTTGTACCGCAGTAAGAACACTAATAGTGCTAGCTGACTTAGTAAGGAACCCTTTCCTTTCTGAAGAAATTAAAGAAGTGAGTATCCAGGACAGCCCCCTCCCCGCCCTCCAGGTGAGGCAGGGACCGTTGTTCTAAAGTCAGTGGAGGGCATTCGATGGGTCTGCAGGAGCTGGAAGAGTTTTAAGCAAAGGAAAGCACGGTTCTAGTCTGGAATGTGCACAGGTCTTTGTCACCTCTCTTCCCTTTCTAGTCCTCCGCAGCCCTTCCATTTCCAAAGGGAAAAAAGTCACGAGGGCTCCTGGAGCTATAGAGGAGGGAAGGAGGCAGAATCGGAGGAAGGAAAGGGTTAGAGGGCACGGCAGGCATCGAAGGGCCGTGCCGGACCACCAGGAAGGGCAGTTGCCATCTGCGTACCCTAGCTGTCCCTCTCATCCGGGTACTGCAGCCTCTGGCGCTAAGGGAAGGGCGGGGCATCGGGGGCGGGGTCTCGCTTGGTTGGCCGCCTCGGGCTCCGTAAGTCCTCCAAGAGGCCAGGTGAGGCCGTCCCGTGATCCTCCGCGCCCGGCCTCTCTGGCCTGCAACGTGTCTCAGGGGCGGAGGCAGTAGCCACGGAGTTTGGCTGTGTGAGGGTCGGGGTTCCCTGTCTCTTCGCTCGTGCCCATCTCTCTGTCGTCGCTCTAGGCTCCTCACGGGCCGGCCCAAGGTCTCAACATGTCGTACAACTACGTCGTAACGGCGCAGAAGCCTACCGCAGTGAACGGCTGTGTGACCGGTGAGGCTGCCCCGGCCGGAGACCCCGGCGAGGGAGGGAACCCGGGCCTAGGGAGGTTGGCGGCCCGGGGGCGGCAGGAGCAAGACTTGGGCCCCGGGAATGGAAGGCGCAGGCAGCCGCGGAACGTCCCTCTCAGCTCGCGGCCTTAAAGGAGCTGTTTCACCACGCGCCTTTTAGGCAGCGCCTTCCGCTGCTATTGAGGGTCCTTTTTTTGCACATAGGAGGTCACTTAGCTTTGAGGACCGGGCCAGGCCCGGTGGATCAGAGCAGAGTATATGAGTTGTGTTTGCTTGGTTGATTGAGCCTCGAAACTGGCCTCGTGTGTGGTCAGGGTAAAGGCGAGATGATGATGGGGGCTTGGGGGCCAGAATTTTCCGGTGGGTGTGCAGGAGGTGAAGGAATTTGAGTTATTTCTGCACCCCTCTCCCCCCCCCCACCTCAAGAGGGTGAGCGGCCTTCTCCAGCAGACCCACCCTTTTGCCTGGGGGTGTTGTTTACTCGAGGGCGCTGCTGGAGAACAAGGTTTGGTTGGCCGGTCAGTGTACAGGCTTTGCCTTGTTTGTGTGCATGGCTCTTTACTGGCAATCACATCCCCAATCAAAGAACATTCATCCTGAACTCAGATTTTCAGTTGAATGTTCAGCCCTCAAACTCGTGTACTTACATAAATACTAATCATGATTTCAGAACAAAAGTTTCTTGTTCGGAAAGCTACAGAGGAGGGCTAAGAGTGGTATTGGTTGATTGCTTGGGAGGCAAAGGGGAGGCAAAGGCAGACAACAGAAAGCTCTAAGAATTTTTCTTCACTTTATCTGGTGAAAGTTCTGGGAGGCTTTGGATGGGAACTCGAAGGAGATGCACATTTTATCCATCAACTTCAATTACAATCTGCTGTTCTGATTTAGAAAGGAAAACAACAGGACCAGCACAAGGGTTTTCGTGTTATCTGTTGAAGGACAGGCTGTTGCCCAGGATGCAGTACTTTTTTCAAAAGCCTGATTGAGAATGTAGCTTGAATGTGTGAAGTGACACATTGAGGCGCCCTGTTTGGCCATTCGAGGTACCTGAAAGACCCATTCTCCAGCTTCAAACGTTAGAGACTCTCTTCTTTCAGGACACTTTACTTCTGCGGAAGATCTGAACCTGTTGATTGCTAAAAACACAAGATTGGAGATCTATGTGGTCACTGCGGAGGGCCTTCGGCCAGTCAAAGAGGTGGGCATGTATGGGAAGATTGCAGTCATGGAGCTTTTCAGACCCAAGGTAAGTGTTTCTAGTTGGGGTAGACAGTAAAAGAACCCATAGTTGTATGTTTTATATGACTGCTTGGGATGGGTGAAGGCTTAAGTAGAGAAATAAAATACTCTTCTTTGGGAATGGTAGTCTTTTTTTTTTTTTTTTTTTTTTTATACAAGCTTCTTATAAGGGGAGATTTATTAGAGAGAAAACTACCAAGTTGGTTCCCTTTTTTGTTTGTTTTATTTTTGTTTTCTGAGACAGGGTCTCTGTGTAACCCTGGCTGCCTTGGAACTCAGTCTAGATCTGGCTGGCCTCCAACACAGAGTAAGGGGTGCACCATCACCGCCCAGCCTTATATCCAGTTATCAACTCTTTCACCATTACAGTTAGAACAATTGTTAACAACAGGAATGTTTTTGAGGGCTCTGTTAGTAAGAGTTTACAGATCTATTGTACCTTTCATTGTTATTACTACAGATTTTTCTTTCTCCATATATTTAGATGAGGGGGAAACATTGTATTCTTTCAGGATTTGGATAGATTGAGATGAATTTAAGATTAAAATAATTGAGTACCTTGCTTATGGAACAGAGATGGAGAACTGTGATACTGCAAGGACTAGATGTTTACCAGCTTCAGTCCTGGCCTTTTGTACATTCCCTTAGGGCATGTGTGAGCTTTAGTACATGTTACAGACTCTGAATATTTTCTCTGTAGGGAGAGTAGAATTTGGAAAGTTCTTTAGAAGCTCAGCATGCTTAAAGAATGTTTAAAAGGCCAAACAGGTTGTTCCTGTTTTTGAAAGAACCTCTTTTGACGTTTTAATGTTGGATTCCAGGGGGAGAGTAAAGACCTGTTGTTCATCTTGACTGCTAAGTACAATGCCTGCATCTTGGAGTATAAGCAGAGTGGTGAAAGCATTGATATCATTACAAGAGCCCATGGCAATGTCCAGGTGAGGTGGCTGCTTCAGGCTGATTAGTTTTTCTGATATCACTGTTGTGATTGAGTGATGAAGAGTGAACTGTCAGGGCATCATAATATGAGATCAGAGAAATGAGAAAGCCCACATGGCTTGAATTGTTTTGATAGTTCAAGGGAAAGTGAATAATTAATCTAGCCACTCATGGGAAAAACAAATGTGTTGTTTGGGCTCCCTGGCATATCAGTGGTCTTAATCTGCCTGGGAAAGCCCTGTACCCAGTATTTTGTTTCTTTGACTATTGAGCTTTTCTAATTCCAGTTTTTCTCCCCCACAGGACCGTATTGGTCGCCCCTCAGAGACTGGCATCATTGGTATCATTGACCCTGAGTGCCGAATGATTGGCCTGCGACTCTATGATGGCCTTTTCAAGGTCATTCCTCTAGACAGAGACAATAAAGAGCTCAAGGCCTTTAACATCCGCCTAGAGGAATTACATGTCATTGATGTGAAGTTCCTGTATGGTTGTCAAGCGCCTACCATTTGCTTTGTCTACCAGGTACAGGATCTGAGAGGGAGAAACTGGTTTGGAATGATGGGAGTGGTATTTTTGCCAAAGGAATGTCTGTCTGGATTTGTAGCAGGGTAGGGAGAAATGTTGACTATTTTCTAAAACATTTTGAACAAAACAGTTATTATGAGTCAGATTTTTTTTCTGTTTTTGCTTTTTTGGGTGTTGTTAATAGTACTTGTTTGGGGGCAGCAAATGCTGCTGGGTTTATAGCAGATTTTAATCCTGAGATTATACTCCAGTTGTAGGCCTTGGGGATTTTATAGAGTGACCTATTTTATCCTTTGTTTGAATCTCTTACCAGCATGCTAGAGGATTATAAAAACTTAGCTGTAGAAAAGTGATTCAGAATTTGCCTTTACAAGCCAACAGAAAATATCTTGGTAATGCCTTACTTTTTAGTCTTTGAAAGAGATTTGGTTTAAGTTTTGTCTAGCACTCACTTTCTGGTGACTTGCTGGCCCTTGACTTCTATTTTAGTCAGTGCCTAAAATTTTAGCAGAGCTGATCCTGGGCAGCTGTTCTCTGGTTCAGATTTGTTAGTGGGGGTGGGGCACAGAGAGGCCGACTAACATGCCAACATCTTGGTAAAATCTCAGCCTTTAACAAAGGAGTAGGCTGCATGAGGTCAGGTTACTTGCCTATGGTCAAATAAACGACACAAGGGAATGATCGTTCGCTTCCATATAGAATGGGAGTATGTGCGCCTGAGAACACTCAAAGATAGCTCTGCAGAGTAATGGAAATGTGCTTTCACTATAAATGCTATAGTCCTGAGACTGATTAACAAGGTGGAAGAAAGCTGCAACTAATTGAGGATAATTTT